TTGTGATGGGCTTGTGATGGACTTGTGATGGACTTGTGATGGACTTGTGATGGACTTGTGATGGACTTGTGATGGGCTTGTGATGGGCTTGTGATGGACTTGTGATGGGCTTGTGATGGACTTGTGATGACTTGTGATGGACTAGTGATGACTTGTGATGGACTAGTGATGGCTTGTGATGGACTTGTTATTGACTAGTGATGACTTGTGATGGACTAGTGATGACTTGTGACGGACTTGTGATGGACTAGTGATGGACTTGTGATGGAATTGTGATGGACTTGTGATGGACTTGTGATGGACTTGTGATGGACTAGTGATGGGCTTGTGATGGACATGTGATGGACTTGTGATGGACTTGTGATGGACTTGTGATGGACATGTGATGGACTTGTGATGGGCTTGTGATGGACTTGTGATGGACTTGTGATGGACTTGTGATGGGCTTGTGATGGACTTGTGGTGGACTTGTGGTGGACTTGTGATGGACTTGTGATGGACTTGTGATGGACTAGTGATGGACTTGTGATGGACTAGTGATGGACTTGTGACGGACTTGTGACGGACTTGTGATGGACTAGTGATGACTTGTGATGGGCTTGTGACGGACTTGTGATGACTTGTGATGGACTAGTGATGACTTGTGATGGGCTTGTGATGGGCTTGTGATGGACTTGTGATGGACTAGTGATGTACTAGTGATGGACTTGTGATGGACTTGTGACGGACTTGTGACGGACATGATGGACTTGTGATGGACTCGTGATGGACTCGTGATGGACTCGTGATGGACTCGTGATGGACTTGTGATGGACTTGTGATGGACTTGTGATGGACTAGTGATGACTTGTGATTGACTTGTGATAGACTTGTGATGGACTTGTGACGGACTTGTGACGAACTTGTGACAGACATGTGATGGGCTTGTGGTGGACTTGTGACGGACATGTGACGGACTTGTGATGGACTTGTGATGGACTTGTGATGGACTTGTGATAGACTTGTGATGGACTAGTGATGGACTTGTGATTGACTTGTGATGGACTTGTGATGGACTAGTGATGACTTGTGATTGACTTGTGATAGACTTGTGATGGACTTGTGACGGACTTGTGACGAACTTGTGACAGACATGTGATGGGCTTGTGGTGGACTTGTGACGGACATGTGACGGACTTGTGATGGACTTGTGATGGACTTGTGATGGACTTGTGATAGACTTGTGATGGACTAGTGATGGACTTGTGATTGACTTGTAATGGACTTGTGATGGACTTGTGGGGACTTGGGATGGACTTGTGATCGACTCGACACAACACTGTAAAATGGAAATCAACCCCCCCCCCAAAAAAAGAAATGCTGTCAGTATTTAGGGAATGTAGCAACAACTCTTGTACTACCCCAACTCTTGCAGATCATTTTTCTTGGTCACGACCTCTACAAAGATTCAACTTCCTTCCGAGGACTTGAACAAGAATGTACCCTCTGATAAGGTGATATTGGTCCTATTTATGTCCCATATATAATTCTCCTAATAACCTACTTCACTAGTTATTTCTCTGTGACTGCAGCATGGCTATTTGTGTGTGTGTAGACGCCTTTATCGGGTTTCAGGATAAGTGCGCTATATTATTATTATAAAATAGCAAAACAGCATCTTTTTTCTTTACAATGAGAGCATGTACAATGTACATCAGATGGAAAATGAAATTTGGAAAGAATGTTGCAACCTGACGCTGCTTTTTTCTTCATATATCATCTCAATGAAGGTCGGTCATTACAAAAATGACGATAAGACATGAATCTGGGACTGAGAAACATTTCCAATTTTGTTAGGATATACTTTTCTTCATTTTCAAGAAAATTGTCTTGACTCTCCATGTACTTTGTACACAACCGCCGAAGTAGCGTCAGGTTGCAACATTCTTTCCAGAAGTTTTTGTATTTTGCTGCTCCCTATGAACATGATGAATTGCTCCCATTGACATGACTGTAATAAAACCCCAAAACATACTCAACTATTTTTTTAGACTTTTAGTAACTTTAATAAAAGGAAGAAAGGTTTGACTTAAAAGGGAAAGCCATCCGTCACAGTTTTCACGAAGAGAAAAATTGAGTGTGCTGAGGGAACAGGAAATTTGTCTCTGTGCGGAAACTGTGACGAAGTCCAACAGTGATTGTGGTTCTCTTACTTAAATTACGGAAATTTCTTGGTTTTACTGAGTTGCCCGAGTTTTATTGCTGGCCGCTAATAGCCGTGCTAAGAAGAAGCGCTTTTTTTCAATAATGAGTTAAGCTCGGTTCATACTTCATGCGAAAGCAAGTGCGAAGCGAGATTCATGTTGTCAACAATGGTGGACGCGCTTTGAACGTATTATCGACGCCACAAATTTCGCTTCGCTTTCGCGTGAAGTATGAACCGGGCTTTACACGTACTCTCAAAGGATGGTGTAAAATAATATTAATAATAATCTGGGAGGCTAATCATCCTTACTCGCAGCTGAGAAGCTGAATTGCGAAGGACGCGGCTACAACATGGTCGAGTCGCAGGCATGTAAAGGCGCCTAAGGCAGCCGCCATGCGACCCATGTCTGACCACGGAGCACAGCCAGAGATCGAAAGTGTTCATTTTTACGGCCTATTATTTAAAAATGAATACATATAGGCCACTGAATATAAACCTTATTAATACTGACACACAAAAAACAGCTGTCTTATGCAATACTGTATGGTATATTAAACAGTTTTTATGGTAACATATCTTCAAACAAAATTTTGGAAGATATATGAATCAAGTGAAACCAACTCCCCCCCCCCCCCCTAAAAAAAACCCAGTAAACATTATTTTCTGAAGTAGAATAAAAAAAAACAAACATACAAAAGAATGAAATAAATAAAAAGAATGTTGTATTTGGCAGCATGGTAGGTCATCGGTGTCTCAGTGAAAATGAGACAGATATAGGTTAAATAAATGACTTTGTACAAACTATATACATAATGAACATACATGTACATGTTTTAACTTTAGCACATTTCCAAAAGTTGTTTTTCTCTTTTCTGAGAACGGGGGGAAAGTGACAAGATTGCTTGCTTCAAATGTGATATGCTAATAACTAATGGAATGGATAAGTGAGGAGGTGATTCCGTGAAATTTATGGAATTTTTTAAAGACCCCGAAAAGTGCCCCCAATTAAGGTTTTGCTGTACAGGGTGGTTCAAAAAAAAGGACACCCACTTTTGACAGCAATTTTCACCAACTTAATGAAGTTATTTTAAATATTTTTTCACATAGTAGGCCTAGAAAAGTATAGGCCTTTAACCATGCATGGTGAAAAAAGCTTAGTAAAAGTCGCAAAAATAGAGATATTATGCTAATTTGAATACAGGTCACCAAAATCAGTCTTGTCCACGGGTTATTCTTTGTAAATTGGACGTTTTCGTAGTTCATAGAAATTAAAAACCTTCCCCCAAAATACATTTTGCCCTGGTAACTTTTACTGAAGCTGTCCAATTATTCATGTCACTGTTAAGATCATCTACTCAATGAGCTGTGCATTGTTGCATAACATAACATAACAATCAAATGTCATGCTCCTTTAAATAAAGCTCCGATAGCTGAGATCAGTCAAGCGAAGGGAACATATACCTCCGTGGACGAACAGGTTTCGCACATGAAATGTTCAAATTAGCATAGCTCAACGACAAAATGTGCAAATGCAACAATTTTTGTCGTCACATTTGCTTAAAGGCCAGTACTTTAATATCTACTAATCGACAGTTAAAAATAATTTTTAAAAGTAGGTGAAAATTGCTGTCAAATGTGGGTTTCCTCTTTGTCGAACCACCCTGTAGACCATACCTGTGAGCATTTTTATGTTATCATTTTCCCACTTATTATGTTTTCTTAAAAAAAAAAAAATCCAATTGCAGCCAAAATTGCTGGATAAATAAGCGAGTTCCGTATTCCAAAATAGTCTTGTGTACAGCAAGATTTGACGATTTCGTTTTCGGGATAACCGCAGCAGATAAATGCACACAAGGCTATGGGGGACGTGGTGACCAAATCTGCATTCTGTGCAATTTTCCGTGCAATCGAAAAGAGATGGAACTTTCGTCCGCACCAAAGTTTTGACACGCAAGACACCTAAAAACACTTCGCTGTCCAAAGTTTTTTCGCAACATGTTATACTTCAGAACACGATGATCTCTTCAATGTTGCCTGTACCCTGCTACGCTTTTGCGCGCATACGATAAAATGTTTATCCGAAAGAAATATCGTCAAAACTTGATATGCACATGCGCAGGTGGATTACGAAGCACGCTTATGGGAATCCTACAATTATATGATTACCATTTTCCCCCCCTAAAAGGCAAGTTATCAAGTTCCCATGGAAACTCGACTAAATTTGGCACAAACTTTATTTTTGAGACACATAAATAACTCTACAGATTGAGTGAAACATGTCAAAAAATCCTACTTTTATATCCAATCATGCCTGAAAAAACAAAAAAGGGAACGTATCTTTCACACTCAGGACAATATTTCCCATCAAAAGTTGGTATAAAAATATTCTTGCTTTCAAGTTTGACTTGTTTTTTTTTTGCGTTGAGTTTACTTTTTGACATATTTCCGAATCCTGTAGATCCATAACACATTTCTTAACTTTTATGTAACACAACTTTAAAACAAATATGTCGTTACCTGTACACACATAAATTGTCACTTGTCCGCATCAACTGAGTCTCTCTGAACTGTTTAATACATGTACCTCCATACTTCTTGTAAAAAGAACTTTTGTCACTTATTGCTTCTCCCACCCAGGAGTAAATGGGTACCTGTGAGGGCAGAGATGGTTATTGTGATTGAATTAGCTTCCTTGCGCCAAACAGGCTGCATCGAGCTGTATACTCCCCAGGGAGCTGAGATGGTATTTGGAATGTTTAATTGGCCCAATGATCTGGGGTAATAATAATGTAAAGCGCTTTGATCTTAGTTAAAGGCGCTATATAAGAACCGCTATTATGATCATTATTATTATTCTGAATTTTAAACAAACATCCCCAAGATGTGTCTTGGGACAAGGTTCGACCCATTTCTTTTCCCACGATGTTTGAAACAGTCCAGTTTTATGGCACAAAAAAGGATATTTGCAGATTTTGTGAGAAACTGTCCGAGTTGAACATATGAAATGGCAAACATTTTGGCAAAACATCTGAAACCCGTCAACACTCAACAAAGATTGTTGATTTTTTTTTTTAAACCTCTTGAGCTTAAGCGAGCTGTTTCTTAAACCAACAGTATTTGTGTGACCTTCACAGGTTTCCATTTTTGAAGAAAAAAAAAACAGCCTGCCACTGACTGCTATTGAACACTTACCCTGTAATTAACAATGGCACTTGCCTGTATAAAGGCATTAACGACTTGAGAGGAGACTAATAAATGGTGGCAGAAGTGGGATGGGAGAGCTAGAGCCATCAAGCTGACCTGCACTACGCAAACAGTGACACACATTCCTGTAGCTTCCGCAACGTTGTTTGATCCAGGGAGCAGAGGTCAAAGTCAAACGTTGCATCCGTTATGTTAAAGAGTCCAGTTTCCTCGATTAGGTCTACTACTCTCTGCAACTGGTCCCGGTTTTGCAAGTGGCTGAGTTTCTGGTGTAAGAGAACCAAGTCGTTGAGGTAACTCTGGTTCCCCTTGGAGAGTTTTGAATCTGCATGTTTGAGTTTTCCTTCGTTGGTTTTGGCCGGTTTGGAATCACTCGATTTTTTGTCAGCATGTTTGGGCTTAGTGTCCACCGCTTTGGATTTGTTCTCGGAGCTCCTTTGCTTCCCATCAGAGCTCTTTGGTTTGGCTTCTGGAGTTTTCTGTTTAGCGTCTGTGCTCTTTTGCTTTGAGTCGCTGCCCTTTTGCTTCCGTTCGCCTTTGCTACTGTAGCTGTTTTTCTTTGAGCCGTTGCTGGTGCTGTTCTTTTTACTACTGCTTGATTTTGAGGTGCTCTTAGTTTTGTCTGAAGCAGCAGGTGTCACTGAGGGAAAGTTCCCGTAGCCTTGTTCATTGGATGAGGTGGAGTGATTGCTGAGTGGTGGCAGCGGTGGGATCGGAGATGGAGTCTTCCTGTATGGCAGACCGATGTCTTGATCATCGTCATCATCATCGTTCTCGTCTCCGAGTTCTGCCATGAGGGTGTTTAAGACTCCCCCACCTCCTCTTGGTAAGGAAGAGAAGCTGATGCTGGAGCTAGGGCTGTGCGCCTCCCCGCCTTCTCCCGTACTCAGCTCATCCTCAAACGGAGGTAGCTCCTTAGGAGGTTCAGGTGCCATCTTCGACGGCTTCCTTGAGATACAGATTTCAGGAGTAAAAAGTCCAGCATCGCCCCGGCTCATAGCTGGCTTTGCAGTTTTTGGTTTACTAGGTTTCTCTTTCTGTTTGGCTTTATCTCCTGAAGAGCTCTTTTCTGCAGGAGAAGGCTTAGCCAAGGAGCTCTTTTCATGCGGACCTCTGTCGCTTGAGTCCTTCCGTTTCCGTTTCTTGGCAGAGTCCTGAGATGTTGGGGCAGGAGCTGGTGAGGTAGAGGAAGGCCGCTTGGCACTGGGTTTAGTCTTAGTGGAATCTTTAGGGGGTGGTTTGGGGCTAGTTTTGGATTCTTTGGAGCCCGACTTGGGCTCCTTAGAGCCAGACTTGGTATCCTTCACAGGAGTCTTGCTATCTTTACTTCCAACCTTAGAATCCTTCCCGCTACTGGACTTGGGTTCTTTGGAGCCTGTTTTGGGTTCTTTGGAGCCTGTTTTGGGCTCTTTTGGACCAGGTTTGGGCTCCTTGAAGCTTGTTTTAGGTTCCTTGGAGCCCGTTTTGGGCTCCTTTGATGATGTCTTGGGCTCCTTAGAGGCAGTTTTAACCTCCTTGTGATCCTTCACAGGCTTGGACGAAGTTTTACTGCCATCCTGGTGAAATCAGACGGAAATTGCAAAAAGTTACAACATGGGTCACATCTTCTTACAAAAAGCAAGCTTATTTTAACCTCAAGAGTGTCTTAAGGATGCCTTGGGCCTAAGCTGATTAAATTAACAAAAGAACAGCCTCCATTGAGATTGAAGAAATTTGGCCTCGTGTTTTGTTTATTGCAACTGTAGACGCTTTCAAATTCAGTGCAACCTCACCCCGATTTAGTTTAGACGCCAAAACAACAGTACACCCCAAATTTTTGTATCTGAAAATCCATGTTTGACGTCACCCCAATTACAGATGCCAAAATAAATTACTAACTCCAAAAACGTCTGAAAATTCATTTGTGACTTTGACTCAATTTGGTATCGAAGCAAAAATAAGTGCGTGCACTTTATGTTAAATTATCTAAAAAATGTAAAATCGATTATCTAATACCCACCCACTCCCCCTGTTTTCGGAATGGCAGATGTTTTGGAAAAGATTGAATTCCGTTCTGACCTTGGCTGCTTGTGTCTTCTTTTTGTTGACCTGAAGACTGGGTGCGGCGGCTTGGGGCTTGCCCTTGGCATACAGGGACGAGTCGCTGAATGAAGGTGGAAGGGGCTTGCCTCCAATCCCGCCCTCTGACACCGGGAAATTGGGCGGCGTCGTAGGAGAGGTAGGAATGCCGGGGTCGGTAGGCAACACGCCGACCTGATGATAATAGAATGTGTGTAAAATTAACCCTAAATCCCTAGGCATTTTTTGGCTGGGATGCAACCTTAATCCCGCAGAATCCCCCAATAGCCTCCATGTTAAAAAATTGCATACAGCCTCAATCCTGCAAAATTCTCCGTTATTTCTGGAATGTGGTCCTTGGAGGGGTGACCACTGCCTCAATCCTGCAAGATCCTCCAGCAATCACTGTCAATATGTTGAGGCAGAGCCAGTGACATCCTGGAGAAGTGCGGGGATTTCAAGTATAATCTAGGCCTAAATTTATGCTTGGCTGAGCATAAACAACACAAGGTCCGGCCCAAAACCTTGACACAGTGCATCCTCTAAAATCGGCCACACATTTTTTGCCATTTAGCCTCAATCCTGCAAAATCCTTCATTTTGCAAAGATGATTTTGCAGGAATTGGGAAGGTTTACATCACAACCCTACACGATTAGGGGTGTGCATTTACGGGTAGTTCGGAGACCGGATTCCTGAACGAAAAAAACCGACCAAACTCAACACCGATTTCAAATCTCATAAGTTGCTGTTGAGATTGTTCATAAAGGTCCGCACGATAATACTACCGCATCGGTGCGTCAATACAGCAAGTTACAAGTGTGTACAGTGAGCTTTATGGTGTAAAGTGCAACTTTTTCACGCGCGTCATAAACGTGAAACACGTTTTGTTTTCCCTGTAGCCTGGTTTTCATTTGGAAAAATCCCTACCAAAAAATCTCATAAATCTCATAAGTTGCTGTTGAGATTGTTCATAAAGGTCTGCACGATAATACTACCGCATCGATGCGTCAATACAGTAAGTTACAAGTGTGTACAGTGAGCTTTATGGTGTAAAGTGCAACTTTTTCACGCGCGTCATAAACGTGAAACACGTTTTGTTTTCCCTGTAGCCTGGTTTTCATTTGGAAAAATCCCTACCAAAAAAAAAAAAATTCAAAACCTTTCTTGTTCATTATGCGAGAAACTACTCGGTGATTGTAAAGTTGGTTACGGGTGCCCGATCCCATAATCTGGAACCTGATGACGTCAACGGGCGGATACTCGGGTACCCATTTCATACGCACAGCCCTACATGTATGTACACGATGCAACACTGTTCAGTGGGCCATGGACAAATTCTGAGGTATTGAGAGCTAGATCAAACGAACAATGCCGCTGTTGTATCGTGCTGCAGTTGGTGACCGCAGACTCAGGGGCCGTTTGGCCGTAAGATTTTAAACACTATGGGATCTTGTTAGACTAAGCAGGCTTCTCCTTTCAACAAGCATGACATCTTGTTGATGCGTTTCGCAGGGTTTCGAGGCTTAATCCCCATGAGGGTTTTGGGTTGTGGTACTGATTCTTACCCCTCCGGCTTTGAGCAGTTTCCTGCGGAAGTCCTCGGTCGGATTGTGGAAGGTCAGCTTCTCGCATCGGATGTGGTTGACCGGAGGTTGCTGCTCCGTGTTCAAGAAGAGGTCGTAGTTCAAGATGACCTTCTTGGGTTCTTCCTTGGATCGGAAGTGAACCTCGATGGTCATTAGGAAGCCTGCGTAGCCCGATTCAGCAACTTCATACGGTGGCTCTTTGACGACTGGGGAAGGAACGATACATAAAACAGTTGTAGGAAATAGGTTTGTGAAAATAGAGATGGGGAAAATGCTACAAATGGTTCTGATTCTGAATGGTTGATTTGCGATGACTTGTGATGATTTGTGATTTGCTAGTGATTTGCTAATGATTTGCTCGTGATAACTCGGGATTGACTTTTGATAACTCATAATGACTTGTGATTGACATTAATTTTGATGACTTGTGATTGACATTAATTTTGATGACTTGTGATTGACATTCGATGTTGTAATTGTCTTGTGGTAACTTGTGATGACATGTGATGACTTCCGATTGACTAGTTGTCGACCTTGGAATGATTTGTGATCGACTTATGATGCTTTGTGATGACTTGTGATTGACTTGTGATTGATTTGTGATTGACTTGCGATGACTTGTGATGGACTTGTGATGGACTTGTGATTGACTTTTGATGACTTGTGATCGACTTGTGATCGACTTGTGATTGACTTGTGATTGACTTGTGATTGACTTGTGATGACTTGTGATGGACTTGTGATGACTTGCGATGACTTGTGATGACTTGTGATTGACTTGGGATGACTTGTGATTGACTTATGATTGACTTGTGATGACTTGTGATTGACTTGTGATGACTTATGATTGACTTGTGATGACTTGTGATGGACTTGTGATGACTTATGATTGACTTGTAATGACTTGTGATTGACTTATGATTGACTTGTGATGACTTGTGATGACTTGTGATGACTTGTGATTGATTTATGATTGACTTGTGATCGACTGTGATGACTTGTGATTGACTTGTGATTGACTTGTGATTGACTTGTGATGACCTGATTACTCTTTAGGCCAAGTAAAACAATAAACCAGTTTCTCATCTCCACCCACTTCCTTTTTCCCGCCCGCCTCCTTTTTTTCTAAAATTCATACATTTGCAATACGTTCTGCAAATATATTGTCAATTATATGTCTTTTAAATTTGTTTCCAACAAGACTGTAACTACATGTATAATCGTAGAAAGGGTTATGACTCCTTTGGACTCAATTTAGCATCAGCGAAAGAGTCGAGAAAATGGAAGAATTCATCTACCAATTTGGAAAATCTGCCCTCTTGCTCTTGGGACAAGTTGTCGGAAAAAGATTTACGTAAACAGTGAAAGTAAAAATGCCACAAATGGTTCTTGAACAATGTTGGATAGATTAGGCTTGGCTTGACTTGTGATGACTTATGATTTGTGACTGATTTGTGATCGACTTGTAATGACCTGTGACGATTTGCAATTGATGCCTTGTGATTGACTAATGATGACTTGTGATGACGTATGACTGTGACTGATTTGCCATGACTTGCGATAGCTTGTGATGACTTGTGACTGACTTTTGATGTCTTGTGATTGACTTGTGATTGACTTGTGATTGACTTGTGATGACTTGTGATGACTTGTGATTGACTTGTGATTGACTTGTGATGACTTGTGATGACTTGTGATTGACTTTTGATGTCTTGTGATTGACTTGTGATTGACTTGTGATTGACTTGTGATGACTTGTGATTGACTTTTGATGTCTTGTGATTGACTTGTGATGGACTTTTGATGTCTTGTGATTGACTTGTGATGACTTGAGATTGACTTTTGATGTCTTGTGATTGACTTGTGATTGACTTGTGATGACTTGTGATTGACTTGTGATTGACTTGTGATGGACTTGTGATGACCGGACCAGAAACTATTTATTTTTCTACTCGGCCTAAGAATCAGGGTCATTTTTTATACCTCTTCTGGGCTTTGGGAAGCTCTCGTGCAGCTGAAAGACGACCTTATCCACAAAATGGTGGATGTTGCTGCCCTCTGGCCCCCGGACAAACACCATCCAGTCATGAGTGAATCCCTGAGGCGTGGGTTTGTCACGAATGTTGGCTCGGTGGCCAAGCTCCAACTTGACCTGAACGCTCTGTGTGACGGAATGGGAAAAATGGACGTTATGAAGCATTAGGCCAAAAAAAAAGGGTCTCCGGTTTCTGGTATGGAGCTTGCCCAAAAAGTGGTGCAGCGACACGGCTTTTTTTTTTTTTACCTGATTTTTTTGCTTCAAATGTCAGCTGATGACTGGAAATGGTGCCCGACTAAACTTAGTGCAAATATATGGGAGTCCAGAGAGGCCACATACAGCTTATTCTCGATCATAACCCCATCTAAAAACACGTTAAAATTGTGCAGCAGCAGGATTCCAGTCAAACCAGTGAGTTTGGCGGTTTTGAGACATCATACATTGAAAAAAAAACTTTTTCATTTTGCCGACGCGCATGGCTACGGCGACGCACGCGCATACCAGAAACCGGATACTTTTTTTTTTGGCCTTAGCAATCCTATTTTATGAAGTGGAGCGGTGTGTATCGTCTTTTCTCTCAAACCTACAAGGCCTCAAGCGCAGAAAAATTACTTGCAAACCACTTCACCCCGGGATTATTTTGCCGCAAAGTTCGATTTTCGCAAAAGGCAAAGGGCTCGGACTTGTTGTTCAATCGTGCGGTGTTAAAGGGAATGTACATCATTGGCTTTTGCTGTAATTTTCGGAAATGAACTATTTGAGGGGTTAGTATAATAGATCAAATATTGTTACACTGACATTTTTGAAGTTTTGTGTTCGAAAAGGTTGGAAAAACCAAGAAAAACAAAAATGTTCAAGTAGTCTGGTTCCCTGACTCCACAAAAGATACAATGGATCAATCTATAGATGATGGAAAATTGTAAGGCAAGGGAACCAGTCTTAGCTGGCCTGCACCCGTTCATGAACATGTAACCAATAGCAAACAAAATTTGAACTGAAAAAATGGTAAATTTGGAGCAGTAGTTGAAAAATAGTTAGGTTTTTCCAACGCTGGTCGGCCGACCACCGCTGGAAACGTATACAAAACTACCATTTTCTTGAAAATGACTTCACACCAGGTGCCATAATTTTACAAGATGCTTGAGACTGTCATTTACCAACATCCTAGTAAGGTATTTCGTAAAAACTTGGTAGTTTTATTTTTCGATGTTTGCAAATTTGTATATTCCCTTAAAGGGAAAAAAATCATAACTTTTTGGTAATGAGAGATAAAAAGCTGATTCAAAAATCAAACTAGGCCTATTGTTTATTTTTTAAGGATTCCTAACCACCATAACCACTAAACAGTTTGATAAGTTTGGAATTTTGTGGGAAAATTTAGAGGTGTTAAATAATAATTTTGACACTAAAAATTACAGAATGTTATCATTGGATTTTGCCATTTAAATTGTTACATCTCCAAAACGTAAGCTCGTAGTATGAAAAAGATTCAAACGTTCTTGATTTTGTCGTGTGATTCTCTTTCCAGTGACACCAAATTTTCAAGGGTTGTATGAAAAAATCCAAATGCTGTACTCCCTAACAAAAGGCACGAGGGATTAATTACTGAATTAGCGTGTTTAGAAGTCACCCGATATAATCATGAATATACTGTCTTACTGATACTTTGGCGATAGTGAAGTGTAGGGCCCCTGTTTTGTTTTGATCAAATTAGAGTAAAAAAATGTTTTGTATTGCTCAAAAATCATCTTTACAATCGAAAGCAGACTTTTCTCAATTCTAATGCCATCCGTTTTGCAGTTTTGAACAGATTCTTGGGGAAGAAATCATGATTTTCCTGCGCAGTTTGTGCCTTGCGATTCAGCGCGCCATGCGTGCTCACAGTACATCGCGCCGTGATCGCCATATTTATTTTCGGGTCGCGTGTTGTTGCCGCGCTGTCATCGTCATTTTACCCCCAAATTTCCCTCAAAAAATCAAAACCCTGCCCTTTATCTATGACATAGGCCCTACCTGTTTATTGAGAATGTTGCCAACTAGTTTGGTAGGCCCAATAAATTTAAGTGGATTTTGTTCCCTTTTTTATAGGAACCAGGCCCTACACTACACGATCGCCAATATTTCTGTACATTTGAACTATTATTCATGTTATTGGAGGCCTATTCTGTTAAACAGCGATTGGCCTACCAGAACATTGTAACGTCTGAAAAAATACTGTTTTACTTTTAGTGTTTACAAAAAAAAAAGTTTAGCCTAGCGTCAGCACGTTTTGCATTCATCACAAAATAAAAATAGCAATCGTTCCAAATATTCAATTTTAAAGGTCGAATTCCCAATTCTTTTCCCCTTTACCTGTGTGCTCATCGTGCTGGCTGCAAACGCCTCTATACAAAACAACGCTGCCCTTTCAAAAACTACAATATCTGAAGCGGAACGCTGTCATCTTGCCGTAGAAAACATCACTCAAGCGTCAAAATGGCGACAGATATGAGAAATTCCCACAATGCATCCACACTAAATTTATGTCAAATTTTATTGAGTTTGAGTGGTCGTCAGAAATACGTCAAAAACTCTGAAATATACACTTTTATATTTGTCGTCCAACCATGCTTTCTAAATAGTTTTTGTGTTAATTAAATAAGAAGCACTTCGAATGGGAAAAATAGGTCAAATATTAATGAATTACATTATAATTTTCATTGATAAGTGCATCAAAATATTGCGACATAAAACAGTCGTAAAGAATATACGGAATATACGTCTTGTATGGTATCCAAACGACTGTCATTAATTTCTTAATTATTTGAAGCGAATCTCGAATTGTAAGACCGGGGTTGAGAGCCAGACTGTTTGTATTATAACGCATGAACCATGAACACATCTGAGCGATGAGCGGCGCGGGCGGATGACTCAACTTGTGTCCAGATTTTTTGCCGACTAATTCGTCCATTTGTTCCTCATCTAATCAGCTATGACATGATAAAACCGAGGAATATAAGAATCTGTTGCGTGTTGTGAAATCGTAGCTCCATTTGAAAGAAGAATTTGGAGATCGAGGGAAGTAGAATTGTGGCTCCAAATTTCCAACATGATCCCGGAAGTACTGCATGGATCGGGTTAAATTTGCTGACTGCACTGGGAGTGGGAGTGCGACTGCGAGTGAATCCCCGTGCGAGTGAGAATGTTAATATTGGAGTGATTGACAAGGCCCGGTTGGTTTGTAATTGAGACTTTTCGTTGATCTGGAAAAGACATCAATCCCCAATAGACAAGATGGTGAGTATTAGTAACTTGATACAGTTTCCCTTGTGATATTTGAGCTTAATTATTTCTGAATTATGTTGACCTCAATGTCAATGACACTGTACAAAATTGGTTGACGCTTGAACATGTTGGTGTTGCATTGTTGGAACTTCCAACAATGCAACATACATAGTGATAATGATAGGTGGGGCTGGCTGATGTCATGGACTAGCCCCATAAATGTGGCCAATTTACTGGACAGCTGGACTACCGTCATGTCTGTAAATAAAGGCCACACTTGGACATTTACAAAACGCAGTGGCTATCGTTACGGCAGCATTTCCCATTTTCTATTGTTACGGTAGTAGGCCTACTGCAACTTTTATAAAAACATGAGAAGAATATATAAAATTAAAAGGAAAAAAGTGAATTGGAACGTTATAAAATTCGGACTTTATTTCCCTTATAAAAAAATCCTCCAAAGCCTCAGGTTTAATAGAAAAAGAAAAAAATTCGAGTGCAAAACTGAGACGCGAACCCGCAACCTCGCGGTTCAAAATCCTACCCTTTATCGACTGAGCTGCCGCACTGCTTGCTAAAATGTGGGGAAACAAATAATTATATACCTGCGTGCGTATCAAAAAAGAATCGTAGAGGGCGCTAAACAACGGCTGCCGTAACAATAGCCACTTCGTTTACAAAAACATGTAGAACTCTGTCAAATTTTGATTTTCACATTTAGGCTTAGTTTGAAATTTATTTTTGCTTTAGAAGCATAGTCACCCTTTTTACAGCTAATCAGAAAGTGCTGCCTTTTTCAGATCTCCAGATTCGTTTGCACACGTTTGCGTATCAAAATTTCAACATGAAATTTCACAAAAAGTAGACATCTGAAAAAGGCAGCACTTTATGATTAGCCTATAAAGACTTTTTAGAGGGTGAGTATATGCTTCTGAAGCAAAAATAAATTACAAACTAAGACTAAATATGAAAATCAAAATTTGACAAAGTGACTTCTACATGTTTTTGTACATGATGGAAGTGCGGCCTTTATTTACGGAGGTAGTCCAGTAAATTGGCCACATTTATGGGGCTAAACTGTGATTTTAAAGAATAATTATATCGATGATGATAGGTGGGGCTGGCTGATGTCATTACTATGATGGATGTCATTGTCATCCGATGAAAAAATCTATTCAAATGAATTTCATTTACACACCAACATGACCAGTTTTCATCGGTTGCTATGTGCATAGAGCTAGTCAAGCCAATGTAAACAACTCTCTGATGGCAACGCCCACCTATAAAAATATATGATGATGTTCATTGATATTAATTTTGAAACTCAATCTTTAAAAGAGAATTTCAAACTATAAAGGAGAGTGTATGATAATGATAAATTTAAATTATGATAAAAACACTAACTTTTATTTATTTGTTGATTTTAATTTTTATGCCCCGCGGCGAAGCCGAAGGGGCATACTGTTTCCGCCTTGTCCTTCCGTGGGTGGGTGGGTGGGTGGGTGTGTGTGTCCGGACAAATCTTGTCAGCGCGATAACTTGAGAAATACTTTACATATGAACTTCAAATTTGGTTTGTGGATTGTCCTTGGTAATCCTAAGAAGCCTTTTGCATTTGGGGCCGAAAGGTCAAGGGTCAAGGTCACAGTGGCTGAAACAATAGAAATTTTGTCAGCGCGATAACTTGAGAAATACTTTACATATTAACTTCAAATTTGGTTTGTGGATTGTCCTTGGCAATTCTAAGAAGCCTTTTGCATTGGGGGCCAAAAGGTCAAGGGTCAAGGTCACAGTGGCTGAAACAATAGAAATTTTGTCAGCGCGATAACTTGAGAAATACTTTACATATGAACTTCAAATTTGGTTTGTGGATTGTCCTTGGTAATCCTAAGAAGCCTTTTGCATTTGGGGCCGAAAGGTCAAGGGTCAAGGTCACAGTGGCTGAAACAATAGAAATTTTGTCAGCGCGATAACTTGAGAAATACTTTACATATGAACTTCAAATTTGGTTTGTGGATTGTCCTTGGCAATTCTAAGAAGCATTTTGCATTTGGGGCCAAAAGGTCAAGGGTCAAGGTCACAGCGGCTGAAACAATAGAAATTTTGTCAGCGCGATAACTTGAGAAATACTTTACATATGAATTTCAAATTTGGTTTGTGGATTGTCCTTGGCAATCCTAAGAAGCCTATCGCATTGGGGGTCAAAAGGTCAAGGGTCAAGGTCACAGTGGCTAAAACAATAGAAATCTTGTATTTATTCTGAGATGATAGGGATTAGGGATTAATTCATATAAAACCTACAGAAGACACTAATGCTGTCAGTGAACGTTCCATTTGACCAAGGTACATGTAAGTTGATGTTAGAGTGGTGTTATGTCATGGAAACAGTCACGGTTGCGGGGCATTTGTGTTTGTAAACACACCTGACTTGTTTACTGATGTAATTTAAGTACAATTCTGAAAATAATTATGACTGTCTTTTTAAAAACACTAACTTTTATTTATTTGTTGATTTTAATTTTTTACTGATATAAAAGTACAATTCTGAAAATAATTATGACTGTCAAAACTAATAATTATCAAAAATAAAACCCTAACCCACCTCAATCCTCCAAAAATCTCCTGGCAGTTCTGGAAAATTTTGGAGGATTGAGGATGAATGGTGTTGAAGCACATGAGGATTCTGGAGGATTGAGGATGAATGGTGTTGAAGCACAAGAGGATTTTGGAGGATTGAGGATGAATGGTGATTGAAGCACAAGAGGATTTTGGAGGATTGAGGATGAATGGTGTTTGAAGCACAAGAGGATTTTGGAGGATTGAGGATAAATGGTGTTTGAAGCACAAGAGGATTCTGGAGGATTGAGGATGAATGGTTTTTGAAGCACAAGAGGATTTTGGAGGATTGAGGATGAATGGTGTTTGAAGCACAAGAGGATTTTGGAGGATTGAGGATGAATGGTGTCGAATGAGGATTTTGGAGGATTGAGGATGAATGGTGTTTGAAGCACATGAGGATTTTGGAGGATTGAGGATGAATGGTGTTTGAAGCACATGAGGATTTTGGAGGCTTGAGTATGAATGGTGTTTTAAGAGGAGCAGGATTTTGGAGGATTGAGGATGAATGCATTTTGAGAGGCAGGACTGTCTGACGATTTTGAAGGATTGAAACGCTGGGTATTCTTCATCTGAACATTTAGTGCCCAATTTTGGAGGATTTTGGAGGATTTTGGAGGATTGAGGATGGCTCCTAGCAAAAAGGGCCTAGGGGATTAGGGTTAAAAAAATTATGACTATCACTTATGACAGTAGGTCTAAACAACTGGTAAAGATACAAATTTGCTGATTGATATATTTGATAACCAAAAATACGAAACTGATTTATATCAAAGTTGATTTATTTTGTAAATAACTCATTTTTTTACTTGACAGTCAAAAAGTTTTGGTTTGAAGATGGCCCTGTTTATTTCTCCATGTGCATGTACTGACAATATAGAAAATGGCCTTGAAGTGTTGTCCTGAACATTGTTTTGTCGCCTTGAATAGTGGGCTGTGGACAGCACTTTTTGTTATGTTGATCGTTGAGTGATTCCCAAGAATGGCCATTGATTGTTTTGTATCTTCTTTTGTGCACATGTCCGCATAGTCTCGCTCTTTTCAAGGCCTTATCCTTTTCAGACTGGTCCACTGTCCAGTTTTGCCTTTTGTGAAGTTGTGTTGTAGAATACAAATTTATGACACACTCATATAAAATACAATGGAATCAACATAATTTCATGGTTTGTAACAATGTGTAAAAGGTAAAATTTGTTGATCTGATTGAACCTCTGTGTCCTATTCTTTTACCACGCATGGTCCAAGCTTTCTGTCAAACACACAAAAACACATTTGTGGTCAAAATGTCTGGAGAAAGTATGTAACTTTCCAAACCATTCACAAAAATGGTTGACATGTAGATGAACACGCACTCTTGTTTTACTGTACTCCCGAGGACAATGCTTTGTGTTTTCCTTTGTCCCTGTAATATATAACACCACCCTATAAAAAATAAACTAAGCAGGCAAACTGACCCGAAACTGACCCCCCTAGTTTGTACTGCGCCCCCCCCCCCCTCGCACTCACACATTTATTTCCTTAATTTATGTTACATTTGTAATGAGAGTTTAATTTAGTCATATTCCTCTGCATGATTTTTTTAAGTGTCAAATTGTCTTGTTGAAAATTATACAATGTTAAAAGGGAAGATACAACGTTTGCAAACATCAAAAAACGAACTGATCAAATTATCACAAAATGTCTTACTGGATTGTTAGGGAATGGCAGTCTAAAGCATCCTGTAAAGTTGTGGCTCCTGGTGTGCTGACATTTTCAAGAAAAACTGTATTTTTCCAACGCTGGTCGGCCGACCAGCGTTGGAAAAAGTGGCCTTTTTTCAAAAAGTGCTCCTAATTTTTCATATTTAGTTTGTCTGCATTTTCTTTGCAATTGATTACACACCTGTGAAGACTACAAGCCTGCTAGACTGATTCTCTCATCTTACAATTCCCCAAAGTCTATAAATTGCTCCGTTTTATCTTAAGTGGGGTCAGGGAACCAGACTACAAGAATATGATTGGTTTACTTGATTTTTCCAGCATCTACGAACCCAAAACGTGGAACAAATCAGTGTAATAATATTTGCTAAAACATACTAATCCTCCTCCAAACCCATTTATTTCTGAAAATTGCTGCAAAAGCAAATGTTGTACATTCCCTTTAACAAACAAGCAGAAAACAGTCATTTCTTTCTTTAATAGTATTTCTTCAATGTTATACATGTATGTGTGATCATAGATAAAGTTGGGCATACATGTACATGTAAGCATTGTTTTTATGGGGGGGGGGGCTATCAGAAAATGAGAATGCACTTTGCCATTGAAACAGGTGTAGAGTCTAGCACTTCCTGAGGATTTCTGCTTGCACAACTTTATCTCTGTGGGTGCAGCACGAAGGAAGGAAATGAAACAATAGCT